GTTCAGGGTCTCCTCTCTCGGGCAGGATTTGGCTGTGCTCACCTGTGGGCAGTCTGGGAGCCAACACAAATCCCCTGGCTCCTTTTCACTTCCAAAACTCTTTCCTCATCCTAGCTCCAAACTCCTTTGAGCATCTCAGCTACCAGGAGGCTGCACACACTGCAGGCTGTACCCACCTGCATCGTGCTGCTCCTGGCGCTGGGTGCCCACTTGTTTGCAGAGCCCTGGCCAGCCCCTTTAACCAGGGGCTGCCAGACCCAGCTCTGAAGGTCTCCGTGTGGGCCATGGGGACATCCAGCACCGCTGGTGGAGTTGATGAGGAGGAGCTAGGACAGAAGCCTGACATGCTACTGATTTCTAGCACAGAAACATTAACATTTCTCAACTGACCATGGACAGGGTGGAAGGGGGGGCCTCATGGTCAGCCTCAGCCTTGCAAGAGGGGGGAAAAAAAAAAAAAAGAGCAGGAAGGTGGGCAGTGCTTTTCCCCGTGTCGTTTGAATCTACCCAAAGCCGCACAAATCTGCCTTGCCTGGGGAGGTTTGGGAGAGCCTGGCCATGCTGTAGCTTTGCCTACCAGCACATCCTTTTTTCATCCATGCTCCTCTCTTCCCTGCCTGTCTCTTCCACCGGCTTTGACTCTTAATTTCTTGTCCCAAGGATGGTCCTGCTTGATGCTACGAGGCTGCAGGTGACCACCACGCTGCGGGGTTCAGCAAATCATTGTTTCCATGTCAGGAGATGATGTTCCCATAATGGCCCTTGAACCCCTTGTGATTTTGGACTTGGTGTTAATTAGCTGGTTGGCTTCAGGGGTTGGTGGCAGGGAGCAAGGGGGTGTTTTGGAGCAACAGAAGTGATGTGGGTCCTGTGCTGAGTTGGAAAGCATTTGTGGGTGTCTCATCAACCCCCTTCGGGGTGCTGCTGGGACAGAGCAGCTCTGCTCCCAGCTCCTGGATCCCAGCTGCAGGTGGCTCATGTCACCGAACAGGCTGTGGCAGCTCTCTGGTGACATGGAGATCACCAGGGTGGGTTGAGGTCTCCCAGAGAGGATTAATCCCTAAAGTGTGAGCACGAAGAGGAGACCTGAGCCGAGCTGCCATCTGGCACTGCTGGCCCAAGCCACATGGAGATGGGGGTCATCACTTCGGCTTTGTCTTGGCAGGTTGACCCCGATGATGTTCTCACAAAAGAAGAGCAGATCTATCTCCTGGTGGAAGCTAAGGAGAAATGTCAGAGAGACATAAAAGCCCAGCTGGAGAAGATCAAAGGTAGTGTCCCTCCCCTACACATGGGTCAGCCAGCCCTGGTGGAGCTGGCTACATTGTGGGAAATGCTTTCCCCTCTGGAGCAGGACAGGGCCAGGGAAACATGCAGCTCCTGGGGGATGCAGGGTCCTCATATGGGTTTGTGCAGCTTCCTGGTACCATGGCTGCTCTGGGCATAATTAGGTGCTAATTAAATCATCACTCTGATAAATCAGCACTGGCTGCCCTGTGCACACTACAAATGAGAATATGTGGAGGGGTCTCACCCACCCCTTCCCCAGGAGGAAGTGGGACACGATGGCACATGTCCCTCTTCATAGCCCCTCCTCAGCTCCTCCTGTGCTGCAGGCCAGGGGTGATCACGTGGCAGCACGTTTTCCTCACCCTGGTCCAGCACACACTTGGGGAAGCTGGAGGTTATGATGTGGCCCTGTTTGGAGCCAAAGTGAGATGTGTCTTTGCTTGTTGGCCAGACACCAGCTGCCTTCCAGAGTGGGACGGGATTATCTGCTGGCCAAAGGGCTCCCCCAGCCAGGAGGTCTCAGTGCCCTGTCCTGGCTACATCTATGACTTCAACCATAAAGGTAAGTGCTTGCATCCGGGCAGGGAGCGCCCTCACCTTGGTGATAATCCTCCACTGAGCAGCAACATGTCTGGGCTTCCCGTGGGTCCTGCTGCTGTCACAGTGCCCATTGCTGTTCCCAGGTCATGCCTACAGGTACTGCAGCGCTTATGGGACCTGGGCCATGGCTCTCAGCATCAACAAGACCTGGGCCAATTACACTGAATGTGCTCTGCTCTTCTCCTCCGAGAGCCGGAGCCGTGAGAAGGTGACCTTGCTCATTGGAGGTGCTGGGAAAATGGGTTGGGATGGGCACCAGGGAAGTGTGCAGCAAGGCCAGGGGAATTGCTGTGAGCAGGGGGCTCTTCCCCCTCTGCTCCCCAGACGAGCCCTGCTCCTTTTCTGCTCTCAGCCCAGGGGGCAGGGAGTGGTCCTGGGCTGCAGAGGGGTTGTGGAGCACAGCCTTTCTCTTCCAGGAGGTGTTTGACCGCCTGCACATGATGTACACCATCGGCTACTCCATCTCCCTGGCCTCCCTCATCATTGCTGTCTGCATCCTCTCATACTTCAAGTAAGGAGGAGCTGAACCCCCATCCCTGTGTCCCTGTGTGTGGGAGAATAGTTGTCTTCCCACTGTCTGCTCATACAGCTCCCTGGGGGGGAGCAGCCCCTTAGGGAATAGGAACCAGTCCCAAACCCCAGCACAAACATCAGACCATTTCCCAAAGCTCCAAAACACCCCCAGTATGAACAGCTCCCCATCCACTCTACTCTGCTCTTCAAGGGGTTGACACCCCACTTCCCCCAGATCTGGCTTCTGTGCCCATGGGAGGGCTGACACCTTGCAGCACACCTTCTCTGGGACCCCCCTATTGCCTGAGCCCATCTGTGATGAGCTTGTTGGGCAGCTGGTGCTGGGCTCGTGTTGCACCCCTTCTCTGTAGGCGCCTGCACTGCACACGCAACTACATCCACGTCCACCTCTTCGCCTCCTTCATCTGCCGGGCAGTGAGCATCTTTGTGAAGGACATGGTCCTCTACTCAGGCACGCTGGCCAGTGAGACAGAGAAGATACAGGAGGATGACTTCAAGGCAGAAATGGGTCCCTCAGTGGGACAATCGAGTCACCTGGCAAGTGGCACGCTGAGAATGGAGGTGGGATCAGGGCAAAAGAGGACTTAGGAGTCCTGGTGCAAGGGGATGCGCTTGGGACCCTCACAGATCAGGGCTGTGCTGCTCAGGGGTGATGCAGTTGGGAAGGGATAAATGGCCATCACATACAGCTCTGTCCAGCTCCTCCTCATCCTGATCCCACAGTAGAGATGAGAGGATGTGGGTCTGCAGTCTGAGCTTAGAGTGCCCTAGTATGGGAAATACCTCTCCTATGGGAAATACCTAGAGTACCTGCTCTATGTCTGATGCAGGGGAGATGCAGCTCCCTGCAAGAGGAGGAATGTGAATCATACATGGGGCACAGCCTGGGTTTTGCTGGTTTTGCTTTCAGGGGACAGCCTGATATGGGCACCTCTCTGACTATATATTCACAGGTTGGCTGCAAGATGGTGGTGACTCTCTTCCTCTATTTTCTGGCCACCAACCACTATTGGATCCTGGTGGAAGGTCTCTATCTGCACAGCCTGATCTTCATGGCCTTCCTCTCCAACAAGAACTACCTATGGGTCCTAATCATCATTGGCTGGGGTAAGCATGGACCCCAACCCAATGCTGTGGCTTCTGAGACCAGCTGGGAGCTGTGGCATCAGCCATGGCTGAGTGGCACCCAGTGCTCAGATATGGGCAGTAGGATGCAAACCAGCTGCCAGGAACACCAGTTCAGTCTGCAAGCATGATGCTTCATCCGTGCTCCTCACTCTGGTTCCTGCCCCTCCAGGTCTCCCTGCTGTGTTTGTGTCTGTCTGGGCCAGCGTCAGGGCCTCCCTGGCGGATACAGAGTACGTAGGTTCACCTTCTCCGACAGTCCTTTGGGGACAGAAACTGATTGCAAATGCTAGCAAAATATCTGTGGGCACCAGAATTTTTGAAAATGACAATTTTCCAAAAAGAACAAGAGGAGTGAACACCCGTACAAGGCTTGTTCATAAAATTGTCAATAATCCAGACCAATAGTGTTTTTGTTCTGCATTTGGGAGGAAGATGGATGTGGGTTTACACCCTAAATTAATCGATAAACAGTGCAAAGATGAATGCTAAAGGACATGTTCTAAAGTTAAGCATGTTAAAAGGAGAATTAGATGAGTTGGTCAAGGAGCCCTCAAAAACATTAATGCTAATTTAAAACTGATTTGCAACACCATGATGGTTATGAATGCCTGTAGCATGGCTGCTGTTGGGTCAAGATTTACACAAACCCTGCAAAGGGAGTAAAGGGTGGGAGGATGGAGATGTTGGCTGGGGGCTGGGCGGGGGGCGTAACAGGGAGCCATCAGCCAGCAGTTTTCCTTACCAGTGATTTCAGCTTTCTTTAAGGTGTTTCTTTACTGGTCTCTTCAGGTGCTGGGACCTCAGCGCAGGGAACATGAAGTGGATTTATCAGGTCCCCATCTTGGCCGCCATCATGGTAAGAATCCCATGGATGAATCTCCTAATCCCTTTTGGGGAAAAGGGATCGATAAGAGACCCAGAGGTGTTCACTTCTGGTCACTGGGATTGTGTCGCCAGCATCCAGAGAGAGACTGTGTGATGCAGAGGGATGCAGGGACACTGGTCCCTCCCTGCTCTGACCACAGCATCACCCCCATGTCCCTACCTGCAACTCACCCAGACCTTCCTGTCCTTATCCTGGGGGGCTGCTCAGGCAGCCCCAAGGTCACTGCAGGCAACAAAACTGCAGCAGGTGTCTTTTGGCAGGTGAACTTCTTCCTCTTCCTCAACATCATCCGGGTGCTGGCCTCCAAGCTCTGGGAGACAAACACAGGGAAGCTGGACCCCCGGCAGCAGTACAGGCAAGTGCTGGCAGCAGCAAAACCATGCCCCAGCCCTGGTCTGGTTCATTTTCTGCCTGTTTAGTTGAGACTGTTCCCCAGAGGGCTGTGAACAAAGAGCAGAGGCACAGGAATGGTTGCAGGAGTGAGGGAGGGTAGCGGGACGATGGCAGCCTGCGCTCCTGGCAGCTCAGTTTGATTAAAACAGCAGGCTCAGGAGTTCAAGCTCTGCCTGCTCCCTTCTCCAAGCTGGACACTGGGCAGTAGGTATGCATAAACCAGCTGTGGCAGCAGCAGAAACTAGTGACTGCCCTCTTCACTAGGACACCTAGCAACATCTGCAAGGGGGCTGCAGGCTGGCTGGTAGGTCCCAGCTAACAGCTCAGAGCATTTCTCCTCTCAGGAAACTGCTGAAGTCCACACTGGTGCTGATGCCGCTTTTCGGAGTTCATTATATGGTGTTCATGGCCATGCCTTACACCGAAGTCTCTGGGGTCCTATGGCAGATCCAGATGCATTACGAGATGGTCTTTAATTCCTCTCAGGTATGTTGACACAGGGCTGCTGGCCCTGCTTTGAACACTGAGCAATGCTCATCCAGGGACAGGGGAGGCACACATACAGCACGCCAGCTCAGGACTCAAACTCCACCTCTGTCTCTTTTGGCAGGGTTTCTTTGTGGCTTTTATCTACTGCTTTTGCAATGGGGAGGTAAGTTAGAAGTGCAAGCAGCTGAGCTCCCTGTTCCAGCCCCGTTAGGGTCAGGGAAGTTAACCTGCAGTCCCCAGGCTGGGATAACCAGAGGAAAAAAATCTCAGATCCATCCCTTTCAGTAGGATTTGGAGAAAAAAAAAAAAAAAAATCACTAGGAGTGAAAACCACAGGAAATGAAAGGGATACCTGTTTTGCTGTCTCTGGGCACCAGCAGCCATCTCCACTCTCTCCCTTAGGTGCAGGCAGAGATTAAGAAAGCCCATTTTCGGAGAAGCCTGGCACTGGACCTCAAGCAGAAGGCACGTGCCACCAGCGTGGCAGGGAGCTGCTGCTACGGTGGGCTGGCATCCCATGCCACCACAAGCTTCAGCACGAGCCTTGCAGGGCGAGGGGCAGGGAACATGCAGCAGCAGGGGCTGCTGCTCCCTGCCCATGCCAGCCTGCCAGGCTACATTCCCAGCTCCTTTGCCTCAGATAACTTTTTGCCCTGTCGAACCCAGGAGATGAGCCAGAGAGCCTGTGGGGAAAACATAGTGGACTTAACAGGCCTGAATCAGTGTCACCCAAACTTAAACAAAGAGCTAGAGATGGCGCTATGAAGTGAACAGTGTGTCTCCCATCTGGACATCCAGCTATGCCTGGAACAGTGCTGATCCTCATGCTTTGGGCTCCTTTTATGCTTGTATGGAGAGCCGAGGTAGGGGGATAGCGGCTGGAACACCACAGTTCCCTTTTCCTCACAGCCAGTGGGCAAAGGGACCATGTGCTCTCGCTCCTTTCACCTCCCTGGCCTACAAACAGCCAGTTCAAAACCTCATTTCCTTCCATCTGCAAGTGATTTACGTAAGCAATGTCTGTACATACAAAGCCTTAAATAATGACCAGGAAACAATCCCCCAGGCTCAGCCTTACCTCAACAGTCTGGAAGGCGACTTCAGCTCCAGCATGTATAAAGCTGATTCAGTGAGCCCATAGTCCTGAAGTCTAACTCTCCTATTTAGCACCAATTCCTGCATTGTACAGCCTGGGGCAGGCAGAGTGAATAGTGCAGTGCCCACAGAGCTATTCTGCAGCTCACCCTGACATTACTTGCATCCTTGTGCAGCTCACAGGCATGGTGAAGCCCAGCATGCAATGCTCAGCCACAAATAGGGAGTGTGAATCCCTGGGATATGATGGGCTCAGGGAGGGAGGCCAAGCTTCATGGCCTGAGAAGGGCACAGTGGAACACCTGGGTCCCCCAGGCTTTACAGCACGGTTGTCCATGAACACACAGACCACTGCATGCAAGAGCCTTGGCTCTGTAATCTTTTTGCAGGCTAAAAAGTGAATAAAGAGACAGTCTGTACAGCTTGCTTCTATCCTCAACTCCATTACAGACTCAATGGTGTTATGCACAGTGATCACAGGTTGCCCAGAGAGCGGGTGGAGGCCCCATCCCTGGGAACATTCCAGGCCAGGTTGGACGGGGCTGTGAGCAATCTGATCTGGTTAAAGGTGTCCCTGCTCCCTGCAGGGGGGTTGGGCTGGGTGACCTCTGGGGATCCCTTCCAACCCAAAACATTCTGTGATTCTATGATCAGTTACTGGAAGACAGCTGAGGGTGTAAAGGGCTGGAAACCCAGACACATTCAGAGCCAGCCAGGTCTGCTCTCACTGCTCACTGTTGGGGGCAAGGCAGCCCCAACTTCCCCCTGCCCCCTCTGCTACATGTGCACTGCCTGGGAAAGCTCATCACCCTGATGGGAAAAAGACATTCCTGAGGAGCTTGCAATGCCCAGCCCAGACAGTTCAGTCAGACCATAGGGGAGGGGAAAATTACGATGTTGTTGGGAGAGGGGGTACGTGTGCCAGGTAAAATTAAACAGCTTGGTGGTGTTAGTGTGGAGATTTTTTTTTTTTCCTGCCTGCTTCAATAAGACACATTCCCTCAACGCAGTAATTTCCTGATAAAGAGAGCGACAGACAACAGATAACTAATTCTGTGCATTCCCATATCTTCTGGTAAAAAGCTAAGATACACAGTGAGTCACAAGGATTAGAAAGCCTTGGAGGAACAGCCAGCCAGCAGGCCAGGAGAGGCATCAGTGAAGGGAAGGGCTCCAAGATTCGTATTCTTTAAATCATCCAGAATCAGACATATCCGCACTACCTCCCATCCATGAAAGCAAGCGCTGTATGACGTGGAAGAGGGCTCTCGGCACAGCTGGGTGGTGGCAGTGTTTGCCCCACTCTAGGGGATGGGAGGCAGAGGGGGAGACTGAGGCACAGGCACAGAGGCAGGAGCAGAATCCCAGGGTTACACTAACCAAACCTGAGCTTCCTGCCATTGATTTGCTCAGCTCTGAGTTGTGCTCGAGTCTCTTTAGAAGAAAGCAGCACACCCTGCCACTGCAAGGAGGGAGATTCTCTTTCGGGATATTTGGCGTGCTGCTCACACTGGTACCTTGTTCTGCGGAGAAGGAATCAACCCTGTTACATATCTAACATGGACCTGTGAATTGACATTTATAGCCCTTGGTCAGTGATCAATATTTACTCACTCAAGTCTCAAGAGACTCCTGGTAGCTAAGAGAAGGGTGAGGAATTTCAATAATCCTATTAAACAGCAAAGGGGCACATTAAAAAGAAGGGGAGAAACCCAAGCATAAGCCACATAGAGGGCCAGTTCCCAGGGGCAGAGAGCTGAGATTCAGGAAGGGAGCAGATGGCAGCTTCAGACTATGGAGCTCTTTTTCAGTTTGTTTTGAAACTCGTGCAAAGTGATAAACCTTAAGTGTGATAAGCAAAAGGGAAATCAACAGTTGCTCCTAAACCCCCTGCCACATCTGTCCTGGAAAATCCTTGTCTTAATATTAAATATGCAGAGCTCAAACCAGTGCAATGAGGTTTCTGCCCAGACCATGATTAGATAATTCAAGTGGAAGCTATTGTTAAAAAAATCCCAACAGATTAGAGCTAATTAGTGAAGGGTCCCAAATAACTTGCTGTCTTAATCAAAACCAGTACACATGCAAGTCAGATCACAAGACTGTCATAGACTTCTCTTTCCAGCCCTACCAATGACTCCATGAAAGGCTGGGGTGAGCAACATGCCCTCAGCTGTATCCTTCCCACTTGTAAAATGTAGAAAAATCTATTCCCCAGGAGGCTTTGAAGCTAAAACAGGCTTTGCAGAACAGTTTGAGGAGAAAGATACTGGAGAAAAAACACAGGAAGTCTTTTATCAACTACATCCACAACTGCTAGTGAAAGGAAGGGATGCAGTTGAATCTCCAGCCGGGCAAATCTCCATCAAAATGCCAGATCAGCCAAAGTAGTGGAGAATAAAAAGCACGTTAGATGTTTTTGTCCCAGTAATAAAACATTTACTAGAGCAAGCAAAAAGTAAATGCACAGCTGATAAAGAAAACATCACAATGTCACAAAAACCTGACAGTTTCTGATACTTCTTTCAGTAGAAACAAGACAGAGGTGGGTGCTGACATATTTCAACAAAAGAGTTCTTCCTTACCTTTATGGTGCAAAGAAAAAAAAAAGTTAAAAAACAGATAATACACACAACGAGTTAAAAACGGTCAAGCAAGATTTTACAGTTTTAACTACATGTGTCCAATATGGGGCAATATTTGAGCTTTTCCACTTCATTAATCGCTTTTCAGGTTCTCCCTAAAGACTTCTGATCAGCGGGTCCCTGAATTTTTGAATGAAGCCTCTTCATTTAGCTACGCTTCATGGGTGCACCGGCCTTTGATTGTTGTGACCTATTTAAATATTTTTCCCTTTTCTGTTTTTAATTTGAAGAAAACACTCAACCCTCTCATAACAGAGGGCACAGGCACAGCAGAGACAAGTTTGCTATGCAGGCTTCCACCAAAACTAAGGTTATTAGGAAAGAAGAGGTTCTTTAAATGAATAAAAATACCTGGGAAATGGGATTGGGACTGATGTACTGACCACAAACAAGCCAGGGAGTCCATTCTACACTACAGGTGAATTTGTGGTTAGCTGGGCTGGAGAAGGATCCCTTGAATGGCTTCATAAAAAATAAAAAAACAACAACAAAAAAAAAAAGGAAAGGAAAGAAAAATCAACTTGCTTCATCCTACCTTCAGCAACGCAAACTGACACATTCTTAGTGGATGGAGACAGACGTAAGGGGCAAACTGGAGGCCCAATTATTTGGGGAAAAGAGACTATGTGAAAAGAGGAGATTGGGGAAGAACTCACCATACTGAACAGATTGCTGAAAGATTAATGTTTAACAGGTGGGTCCTGAGCATCTCTAGATGGACTGGTTTTTTTAAATGTGAACACTGGTTAAGAAAAGACTATGTTATACTTCTATGGACAACAGTTTCTTAACGTTCCAAGGACGTGAAACAGCTTCTTTCTTGTCAAGAAGATCTGTTTAAATCCAGCAGAGAGTCACTTGAGCACTGAATGTTTAAAAGCAGAACCCAGGAAGCTTTATCAAAATGATTTCTCTTTGACTAAGCATTGTGTGTATACATCATTAGGGTGAATCTGTCCGCAGGTGTACCGGCCCAGACTTGCATGGGAAGTTTTCATGGTTTCCTTCTCTTCCCCCAGCTGCTCAACAACCAGTTACCAAAAACCCCAAGAAATCCTCTGGAAAAAGACAACACTACCTGCAGAGATTCCAGGCTGCAGAACACCAGCTTTTAACTGTCCCACCGGCTCTTCTTACGTTTTGGGGGCTCTGGGACAGCAAAACCATCTGTCTTGTTTTCTCGGCTGTTGGCATCCTTCCTATTCTCACCATTCCTGTTCTCGTTGTTCCTGCCTTCGTTGCTATTCCTGCTATCACCATTATTGCGATTGCTACTGCCCACATCAGCAAAGTGCCGGCTTTCACTGTGGCGATGGTTGTCACTGTGTCGGTCCTCTCCGTGGCGGTAAGTGTCACTGTGGCGACTGCCTCCTTCTCCATGGCGTTGCACATCATTGTAGCGACCACCACCCTCTCCACGGCGCAGGATCTCATTGTGGCGACTGTTCCGGTTGTCGTTGTATCGTTCTCTAACAATGCCGCCAACACCACCACCACCACCGCTGCCACTGCCAACACTGCTGCCGCCAGCAGCAGCAATGCTGGTGGTGCTGCTGCTGCCGCCGCTGCTTTCTCGATTGCTGGTGCTGGCATTTGAGTTGTTGAAGCCCTGTGCTCCGACACTTGGGAAGGTGGGAACGCTACTCAAATTCCCTGTGCTGGTGAAACCCGGAACACCCTTTGCTGCTGCAGCAGCTGCAATTAGGCTGTCAGGATTTGCAGCATTTTGCTGTGCTGAACTTGTCGGTACTGAGTTCAAGCTCCCAGCGCTGGTCCAGCCACTAGCACCAGCAGCGGAGCTACCAGTCTTTTGATTATTTAAGCTTGCAGCAACAAAGTGGCTCTTATACTGGGACTGCCAGAAGGAGACAGAAAGAAAAAAGAAAGCATGTTTGCCTCTACACTGCACCACAAAACATGCAGTCACCATGCATACCCGAGCCTGTCTTGAATTCTGGGGAGCCCCTAGGAAAAGGAGCTTCTATAAAAAGTCAGTCTTGGAGTGA